CGTAAACTCCTTAAAATCATGTCAAAATGTCCCAAATGTGCACCAAACTCATCCTAGGGCTTATTACATAATTTAAGGACTTATCCTCTTGAGTTTAGACACTTGAAACACTCCAAAATGATTTAAAGAAAGGAGTTTATAGCCCAAGCATTTATCTAGGCCGTAAACTCCCCAAAACCCCCTCAAATGTTGGTTTTAATCACCCAAAATAGCATCAAACTTCATTAGAAATCACTAGAAAGGCATTAGGGGCTTGAAACATCACCAAACTCAATGATTTAGAGTTTACAGCCGTAAACTCCTTTAGGAGTTGTTCTTAGGCCGTAAACTCCATTATAAGGCCCTTAGGAACCTCAAATCCACTCATGCCCTTTAGGAAAAATGCTTAGAATAATTCAATGAACAAGCTAGAAGCATCAAACACCCAAGAATAGGACCTTGGGAGTTTACGGCTGTAAACTCCCTTAGGTTGGGCCGTAAACTCCTTGTTTGGTCCATGTTGGTGTTTTAAATCCATTTACACACTTGATATGTGAGTATAGCAAAGTCCCATAACTGATAAAAGACCCTTAGCACCCGTAAACGCTACCCGGGACCCCAAACACTCAACCAAAAGTGTTTTACACTCCTTTGAGTGTGTATAATTGTTTAATTAGTATATTATATGCTAATTTTATGTGAACATATGTTATCATATGTTAAAATAGGTCCTTGTGTGTGTTCAAGTCCTTGCGTGACCCCGAACGCCCAATCGGCACTTTCGTCGGACCTACTTACACCAGGTGAGTTCATACCCCTGAATGAACCTTTTAAATGCTTTTAAATGTTTTATAGGGGGGAATACAAGTTAAAAATGCCAGTTATCATGTCAATCGCATATGATTGATAACCCGCATGCACAAGATTTTACCACTTTTACACTGTTTTACCGAGTGGGACACTAAAATGACTTTTACCTGTTTCATAACTTTTACTTATACTGATTTATTCAAATTCATCCTAAATTGGTTTATGAAAGATCCTCTATGGTTTTAAATATATTTTACAAAGGAATACAATTTGTGATTTTCTCTGTACATAAAGGCTTTTCATTAAAGGTTTCCCCTTTTCGACGTATACTTTTACTTATAAAATACTGCTGCTTCACTTATACTTATTTTATACTCTGACTCGGTAACACTTTCACTTATACCTATAGTCGCTTATACTTGATGACGCTTATACTTATTCACGCTATTACTTAGTGATACGATTTCTCCTTCACTTATACTGGATAACGACTTTACTCCACTTATACTTGATAGACGTTCTTACATCACTTATTGTCGTCTCTGCTTTGTGATACACTTATACTTGGTACGCTTATACTTCATGGTTCGATTATCCCACACTGTACACGTATACTTGACGACTCGGATGTTCCACTGTACTCTTATACTTCACGACTCAGATGTTCCACTGTACACTTATACTTCACGACTCAGATGTTCCACTGTACACTTATACTTCACCGTATGATACACACTCAAGCGTAGTTAGATGTATGTTTATGCTTGTATAGATGTATATAAATAATGATTGAAGGACTTAGGAAGGCTTGTCCGCCCTATTTCCTTTTCTTCGTTGAGATGTGGTCTGGTGGGATCGGATGTCCATCTGAAGGTTGTTCGATTCATTAGTTATATATTACGTATACAAGCATAGACATATGAGTTTTCTTCAGTCAATTCAGTTAAGAGTCTATACCTCTAGTCTACACTTACATAAGAAACCCACTCCCTCCTAGTAACACACTATCCTCTATTTGGGATGCATCTTCGGGACGCGGCCTTCTCCGTCGTCTAGTTGGTAACCAGAGTCTCCTGTAGGGAGAGCGGACATTGTGTGTATAGGCCTATACGAGATTGGCAACCCCGCACCCTGACTGCTAGCTACAGTCCACGGCCTACTAAGCCAAGGGGTGACAAATGTCACATTATATAGATGCTTGTAGGGCGTCTAGTACTCTAGTCAGTATGGTTACGAGTATCCTGGGTTGCCTTATAATTCATGGCTTTAAGGTAACAGTATTTCGTCAGTGATTTACACTGTATGCTGATGTCACCTTTTTCAGAGTCACACTGTTGTGACCTTGCTAGATGTATCTTTCATTTGATACCGTCTGGGGTCTGTTATCTCTATTTGACCTTATAAGATGTATCTTTCGTTTGATACCGTTTGGGGTCTGTTATCACTGTTTGACCTTTCAAGATGTACCTTTCATTTGGTATCGTCTGTGGTCTGGCTTCACTGTTTTGACCTTGCAAGATGTACCTTTCATTTGGTATCGTCTGCGGTCTGTCTTCATTGTTATGACCTTGCAAGATGTACCTTCCATTTGGTATCGTCTTCGGTCTGCGTTCACTGTTTTAGACCTTACTAGTTGTACCTTTCATTTGGTACCTTCGGGGGTCTGTTTCTCCATTTGTTAGACTGAATCAGGCGTGTCGTTAGTTCGACACTTTCCTGGAGTCTATGACTCTTTTGCCTTAGTCAGCAGTCCTTACTGCTGAGGCATATGTTATTCCCTGATGCCTCTGCTTTCTTTAATAATCAAATTCAGTATTTTGATATTATTAGCAATTAAGGGAAACTTCTTCTTACCACAATACACTGACCAGTCTTGGTAGAAGGCTGCTTTTATTAAAGAAAATATAGGATTTTCTGGAAAGAACACTAATACACTGAAATCACTTAAACTACTGCTTTATAAAGTTATTTGACTAAATGACACTAAATACTTATGAACTCACCAGCATTGTAAAAATGCTGATACTCACTTTTCAAATAACTTGTATTCTCAGGTTAGCATTAGACAGGTACATCCCCGGAGCTGTTGATGAAGATAGCTTTGTACCATGCTGTATTTATTCTATTACTTGTATTACTTTAAATTGTTGTAATGTAACCTTGTAAAACTATTACTATTAAATCAATGTTTTGTTGTACTTTGATTACTATAATGCATGTGTTGTGATACTTGACATGACGTCATCCACCCCAGAACGTTTCCGCCGTTCCGGTTTTGGGGTGTGACACAATCATGTCTTAAACTTACTCAGGACATAATTCAATAATCCTGAATCCTAGGTAAAACACTATTTTACCAATCCCCTCAAATGTCCTAAAGACCAAGGCCCAAACTCAATGGAACTAAAAGCCTAATAATCGGTCCAAATCCAACAAACACCCAAGGCCCAATTCTATAAAGACCCAACTAGAATCCCAAAATGTAAACTATCCATCCTCATGTCGTGACCAGTTCTTGGTCACGTCGTGAGATCCTTGGCCAGGTCATGAGATCTTACTAGATCCGATTCCAAATCATCCTGAATCAACTCAGTCAATTTGGAATTGAAAAGTCACCGAAGTTGACCTTACGTCATGAGAGCCTCCTCCCACATCGTGAGGTCCAAGAAGGTAACCAAAAATAGGGTCATTCAATCCTCACATCTTGAGCTCCATGTCTCATGTCGTGAGATCAGTCTGAAGACAAAGTTTGACTTTTAAATCCTTAATCCATTAATCCATGAACTCTAACTTTCTATAAGGTCTTATAACTCCATAATGCACAGGAAAGTCGATGCTTTTATGACATGTATGTCCAATACATGTCTAGATCTCATTTAGGTCAAAAGTTGAAGAAAAGACATCCGACTTTCATGCAAGGTTCTGAAACTCAATCATTCCCTATATTTGAACTCCATAACACTCTTAACACCCTAATGACATATAAAGTTGCCAACTTTATGGTTTCCATTCATCGAACTTTCACATTCAATAGGAAAAGTGGGACAAAACCTAGATCTAGCCTCATAGAATAATAAAAGAGGAATCTTTGATACTTACGATGATCCAAAAACAATGTAAGATGATGATGATGATGAAGATTCCTTAAAAGCCTCACGTCAAGATCACATTCTTCTTCTTCTTTTCTCCTTTTTCCTAAACATAGAAAAGCTCCAAAATGACCAAAGATCAAGCAAGGATGAAGACTAGAGTGTTTCTGAGGTAAAATAGGGTTTGGGGCTGATAAGAAACCCTTAAATGAGTTTAAAGATTCTTAAATACGAAGAAAACCCTAAAATGATCATGGGCTTGGGCTATATCGGCTCTCATGTCGTGAGTTCCATGTCTCACATTGTGAGATTAGTCTCGAACAAAAGTTTTCATGCAACCCATCTCACGCCGCCTTGAGCCTCCAACCTCACATCGTGAGGCTTCTTTTCTTCCAAAATCCAAACTTTTGACTCCTCGAAACCCTAATTTGATTCATCCTAGAAAAATGGGTGTTCCACTGTAATTGTTCCTTTGACAAGCTCTCAGACTTTTGAACAACAACATTGGGCTTTCAGAATTAGTGACTATCCGTTTGCCTTTGTCTGTTGATAGATTAACTTGAGATGATATGGAGGAGATGACTCATGGTAATCTCATCCGATTTTATGATTGGAGAACCTTGGTCAATCTGTATGATTTTTAGAGATGGAATGGGAGGAAGCATTGATTGAGTGGCTCCAAATGCATCAATAGTCATTTTGGTTTTAACCTTCTCCATGTATCGACTCCTTTTAAATGTTCGGAAAATGATGATGGTCAGGAGACCAACGACCATTTCATAATCTCTACTTCGGAAAGGACTTTGGTTGGAGGTTCTCTAATGGCTTGTAATCCAAGAACTACATCAACAACAAGGTCATCTACATCATCATCATCATCACCTTCAAAAGTATTTACTTCCACAACTTCTTTTTCAGAGTCTTCTTCTCGGTAAACAAATTCCGAGATTGATCTCCATTGTATTGTTCGTTATTCTCCTACATGTTGTTCATTTCCCTGATTTTCTCCCCTCTTGCATGGGAAATACCTACCCCATATGCAAGTAATTGATCATACTTGAGCTCACTTAGGCATTCAAAAACTCATTGAAAGCTTGTGTTGATTTTCCTGGAAAGCGAGTCCTAGGCTTCGGCAGTAGGAGCTTGAGCTTTGAGGTGATTAAAGGTTTCATCAATGATGTGAAGCATTTCATCGAACTTGTAGTTTGGAACATCTAGGTGATGTTGAGCTGCATGAATGACCTTGATAAACACTTCTTGCATAACCATCTTCATGGCATCTTTGTGATGAATTTCATTCTCCAACTTCTGAATTTGTTTTTCATGTCAGACGTGAGTTTTCTTGATTAGAGTGTTAGTGGCAGAAAGCATATCATCATGAACTTTGAGCATAGTAGTGATTGTGGAGATGTGATAATCCATGTTTTCCTTATAATGTGCTTCACAATCTTCAAGAGTGTGACTTAGATGAAGTGAGATAAGCTGATCTAATTGATTTGCACGGTCAAGGTCAGATGGCCTAAAACTTGGTCAAGTTTTCACTCAAGGCCTAAAACTTGTTGAGTTACCTTGTCGAAGTTGGAGTTTAACGTTATCTTGGAGTTCCAACAATTCAAATGGACGTGCAATATTTTCGTCAGAGGAACTGGTAGTTGAGGTGGAACTTTCAGACTTGTGATGAATATCATCTTTTCTCTTGTCATTATCATGTGGAGCTTCTTGAGTAGGAGAATCTTTATGACCTTCAGGTGTGATTTCTAAGGGGAGGAAAAACATCATTGTTCTCAGGTCCATCATTTTCATTTGTATAACATCCCGATCATAAGGTACTTCTAGTTTTAACCCTATAATTTTATTATATTTCAATTTGGATCCTAAGTAAAAGAAAGAGCGCAATGAAGGCCCTAGTGGAATTTTTGTAATTTGGGTGTTAGGGCAGTACGCCATGCATATGCGTGTATGCGGAGCATACTAGGGTGCGCCCTAGTACACTGGGTGTACATATGTATGTAGGGCGTACGTGCCAGGCATGAAAACCCTAATTTTTAGGGGTTGGTTCATATTTAAACCTCATTATAGGCTCATTTCCACTCACTTCATTAGCCTCCATCCTTTTAGAACGTTTTTGCAACCCTAATACATCTTGTGAAGCATTTCTAAGCTTCAGTATGTGTCTTTTGAACTTTTGAAGAAGAAGGAAGGAAGTAGAGATCACCTTTTGGCACCATTTGGAGGTATACAGTACTAAACTTGGTGAAGTTTCATTTAGATCTTGTGTTGGAATGATATTTGGTCCTTTTTTCCCAAATATGGAGATTCATGAACATTGCATGTTCTTGAGCCATTAAGCTGTCCTTTCAGAACTTTGGAAGGGTATTGAGTCATGAAAATGGGTTCCAAATGGTTGGTTTTGCTCCATGCATTATTTATAAGGTATTAATGGATTAAGAAGTTGAGTTATGCACTTAATGGACATGCAAAGTCAGAAAGTTGGAAACTTTATGACTCTTGAGGGTATTTTAGCCATGGATCTGAAATATGGACCATTAAGCTCTTAATGAGAATTTGGGAATCTGGGAGTACGCACCGTGTACGAAGTAAGCCACCCTGATGGTGGTTAACGCTCGAGTACGCCCAACGTACATTTGGAGTACACCTTGTGTACACACTTTGTATTGACTCGGTTGGGTTGACTCAGTTGATTTAACCACTTTGACTTTGAATTTGACCAAGTTTGACTTAATTGTATTTTAGGATTTTGATTAAGATTAGTCATTTGGTTAGATATGTAATAGTTAGAGATGAGATTCAGAGTCGAGATGTGACACCCATAAAAATCAGAATAAATATAAACTTTAAAAATCAACTGAAGTTCATAACATGTTTACAAATCATAGTTTTCAAAACATTTTCCAACATCATAGTCTCTTAAAATCATAACCCATAAACAAGAGAATTTGTACGGTCATGCCTTCGCCTTCTTGCGGTCATCCAAAGTACCTGAAACATAACCCAAAAATGTAAGCCAACGCTTGCTGAGTTCCCCCAAAGTACCAACACATAAACATATAACATATACAATAACAACATGTCGGATTCAATCAACCTGTTGTTGGAATACCCCAGGCCCAATCAACCATTGAGTTGGAATGCCAATATACTATGGGTTCAGTCAACCATCGGGTTGGAATACCCCAGACCCAATCGACCATTGGGTTGGAATGCCAATATACTATGTTTCCAATCATCCTGTGGATGGAATTCGGGCCAGTCAACCATCGGGTTGGAATGCCCCTGACCTGTTGGCTCACACACAAAGCAGTAAAGCCTCAACCACTAACCAAACATGTGTACACATAATAGACAGACATATAACCAGTTTATAGAGGTTTGGGAAGTTCTATATATCACTAAGCATAACATCATCCTATTTACCAGGATATAGATCATGAAAACATACTATCATATAACAGGATATCAATCCAGTGGGTCGGCCTTGGTACTTTTGACCCATAAGTACAATGAGGGAAACGTCACCTCACAAACTCGACAAAAGCTAGTGAGGCTCAACTCCGAATATCAGCTCTAATACGCACCTTCGAGATGTTGCAAACCAAGAAGAAATCCCAAATCCAAAGTGCTCTCAAATCCAATATTTTCTGACCGCCTTCTTCTCTCTTCCAAACCACTCCAAAACTCTTTTTGAAGGCTCAAGTTTTGCTCTCTCTTTCTCTAAGGCTGCTTAAGGGTTCAAATCACAGAATTAGGCTGGATAAGAAGAGGATATGAGTCCATATGGTTGCTTAAATTTAAGTCAAAGCCTTAAAAGTAGTGTTTGCATGAAATCCACGTACGCCCTATGTAAACATGTATGCCTAGCGTACTAAGTTGTTCCTTAGTATGCTTATCATACACACACGTATACATGGCGTACTCAACAATTTCCAACTTTAACCAAATTGTCACTATGGGACCTTTTCACACTTTCTAACACTTAAGGACCAAAATGCAATATAATTCATTTATATGGCCATATTTAGAAGTACCTCATCATCGGGATGTTACATGAGACCTCATCAGCTTTTGTCCAGTCTGTGGGGTGAGTCTTTCCTCACTGTACTTACGGGTCAAAGGCACCAAGGCCGGCCCATTGGATTAGATATCCCATTATGTGATAGTTTGTTATCATGTCGTAGTGATCTGTTAGATTGGTATCCTGATATATAGTATGATGTTGTTCTTAGTGGTCTGTAGATTTTCCTGATAGTCTCATGAATGATCATATGTTTATTTGTTATATGTGCACATATTTAGTTGGTGGTTGAGGCTTTACTGCTTTGTGCGTGAGCCAACAGACTGGGGGCATTCCATCCCGATGGTTGATTGGGCCCGAGGGTATTCCATCCCGTGGATGATTGGACCCATTGTATATTAGCATACCAACATAGGGTATTCCATCCCAAGGACGACTGATCCCGAAGCTAGATTGGGTCTGGGGTATTCTAACCCGATGGTTGATTGGACCCGACATATTGGTGTATATGTTATCTGTTTATGTGTTGGTACATTAAGGGAACTCACTAAGCTTTTGCTTACAGTTTTTAGTTGTAGTTTCAGGTACTTCAGATGATCGTGTGAAGGAGAAGGCATGACCGTACATATCTTCTTTTTTATGTACTTCTGATCTACGAGATACTCTGATATGGAACAATACTTTGAAAACAATGGTTTTGTAAACATTCTATGATTTGGGGTTGTTTTAAAAGGTTTAAATTTCTTGTGATTTTTATGGATGTTACAAGTTGGTATCATATCCTTGGTTGGAGTGAAATGGAGGAACACCTGTGTCAATCTAGTCTCAAACTAAGGAAAAGGTTTTAAAAATGATTTTCAAAATAATCAAAAGAAGATGCAATGTGTACGATCAAACGGGGCCAATAAGTAGACCCCAAATTACCACATTATTATTTGATATTATGATATGTTAGAACAACATGCTAGTGATAGGCTAGGGATCTTTAGGAATTGCATGATAGAATTGCTTGATTATATGACTGTTGGTAGCTTAGGTTTTGCTTCTTATATAGAATTGACATCATAACTATAGTTGCTTAGTGTATGCAACATTGTTGTACATAACTAAGATTCTATAGCTGAGAATGTTTGGTTTATCCTTTTTTTATTATTCTTGTTTGATGAAGGACTTAGGGTAGAATAAAGTATTCGACTGTTTATAGGATCCAGTGTTATGTATGATTAGCATACACGAGTGCAGTAGGGTAGGTGGAAGTTTCATGGATAAGTTCTGTAGGGTCAGCGCACCAGTTGCGTAATGTTTAGCGTTCCTTTAGGAAGTGATGATAGAATGTATATGTATGCTAGTTTGTATTGTTAGGGTTGTATTCATGATCCTCTGAGACAAATATGGGTAGGTGTGGAAGATTGTATGGGCCCATACTACTGGAAGCACAGGACCCGTACGTGTAACACGGAAGTCACAACCACTAGGGTTTTATTGGGAATTGGTCCCCATGGTGTTATATGCGTTTTATTTGATATCTCCCTAGTTTATTTTGAGTATGGCGATTACGAGATGATTTGTGACAGGATCCGGATCAGGATCAGGGACAAGTGGCCAGGATGGGGCATAATTAACTGAGGACTGGGTTATGGAGATCATTCAGGAAGAGGTTGTTTCCCTCTTCTGGGCATAGTTACCAGAAATGTGTGGGTCTATTAATTCCATTATGATGGATTACTTTGACAAGAAATATGTTTCACTTTCTAGGACCGCTACTACTGCAACCACCGTAGTCGTTACTACTGCGGGGATTAGCGATGGGAGAGCCTTCCAGTATTGGGACTTCGACAATACAAAGCCCCCGACATTTGATAGAGTTTAGGATCTGATCATAGCCATGAGGTGACAATCTGACATCGAGGGAGGCTTCTTTACTTGCTCTTGCCCAGCTAACCAGAAGGTCAAGTGTGCTCTGAACCTTCTTCGGTTCAGAGTGAAGGATTGTTACTAGCTCGATTACCCTGAGCAGAGGGTTGCTGTGAATTTGGAATAGTTCTCTGAGACGTTTTGTTCTAGATACGTTCCACTGGTGGAGCAGGAGAGGTTAGCCCGTGAGTACTTAGATTTGAGATAGGGGACTGAGTCGGTGATGGAGATCACCACGATGTTTACGGAGTGATCCATGTTTTTCCCTGAGTGTTTTGCTTTTGAGCAAGCTCAGATGACTCGGTACTTGAGCATGCTCAAGACGAACATCCGACAGTTTGTGTCCATGCAAGGCTATGGTTCATTGGTCGACTTTAAAGAGGCCGCTAGGCGGCATGAGATTGGGATGGAGCTCCAAACGAGGGAGCAGACGCAGACCACAACACAGTCACAGCCTGCGTCGAAGCGGTTCAAGGCCGATGATGGTAGATCTAGGAGTCATCGGGGGTGCTGTAACATCCTGACTCCCAGTTATGAATTTCAATAATTTTTATACATCATTTAAGACCTACTCGACTAGTTGGAGACCCCAACACATCGTGTAGAAACTAATCAGACCTTGTGGTTTATGGAACCTACTTGACGAGTTGGAGGACCCCAAATCGACGAGTTGAGGTTGTGCATGAAAACCCTAATTTTTAGGGCTTGCACCCTATTTAACGGACCTTAAGTCCCCCTCGCCAGCTTCCCTTTTCACTGTATAGTCCAGAGAAACCCTAATAGAGTTAACCTTCCATTTTGACAGTGTGTAAGGCTAAGGAGTGTGTGTTTG